TAGGCAGTCTTTCTTCTACAGACTATAAAGTTAATAAATAATTCTTAAGTGACACCGTGGAAGAATAAGTGTTCTCGAGTTCTTCAGAAGAATGATAACTGTTCCAGAGAGTTCGATAACAATATAAAAAGGTCGTTGAATGGCAGACAAAATATCAATGAAAGACTACATCATCATCATCATAAAATCGTCAGTCCTAAGACTGCCTGGACACGTACCTCCATTCTTTCCTATCCTGAGCTAATCTTCGCATGTACCTAAAACTAGAACAACCCATATCCTATATATATACATATAAGAAGTAGTTTAAGTGTTTAGTTAAGTATTATAGTGTAGTATTGTCATGTGCTTGTAGGCAACCCACTATACATAGTGCAAAAAAGACCGGACTTTCTAGACGTCATATTCTGGATCGTTCTAGAACGTGGCCAGCTCCCATAAGTAGTTCCCGCGAGGTCATAATGGAGAACTAATAATAATAGTAATAGAGAGGAAGGTCGGAATGTGTTTGATTACGTGACAATATAAATAACTGTAAAATAAATACCCATTACATAATTAAATTAATACTAGAAAATTCGTTACAATATGATAAAAAGTATCATTGTATATATTTCTGAATTCGTGAAACAGTGAAACGATAATTTCAAAGCAAATATTATTTTAACTTCCCATACTAAAGAAAGAACGCAATTACGAAAAGTTGTTTTTAATTTACAGTTCATATTGTATGTTTTTGTTCTTTTTTAGTTTTTTCAGAATAATAGCTCTGAAAGCTTTTTTAATTTCAGTGGGTGTTCAGATACCTTGAGTCCTTCCCCTGAAATACGCTCCTGGGCTCTTCCATATACAAAATGATTTTAAAAGTTTTATATTTTTCCACTCCTACATTCCATTCAATGCGAATTAAATAACTATTGTTGACCTTTAAGTTATTTCTTTCTTTTTTACCCACTTGTGTTTACTGTTAAATCACTGTTGTGTCATTGAATTACTTACGATTTACCTGTTTTTGCGAATTCTGATTAAGGTTCGCAACAATTAGATTTTATTTTCATTCACACAATTCGGATAATATATAAAAATAGCAATCGAATTTTAGTGTAGGATTAGGATGAAGTTCGGTCATACGTAAGACCTGCACCTTGAGAAGGTGGCCCCTTGGAGTGCTAGCGACCTTAAGATCGTTAAGAAAAAACGTACATCTAATGAAGGGATTTTCTCTGTTGTTTCATTTTTACTCTTGTTGACAATGGAAATTTATCAACAAAGGTTCAACATTAGTATTGTCACGCAGTGAAATTTTAATGAAATTTAAAAAACCATTTTAGACTTTAAAATTAATTAAATATTTTATAATTATAACGTTGCTATTCTTTTCAAATTCATAAAACGGATATCGAGTTCATTCACTTGCAAAATAAGCATATTTGGCATTACACAGCAACGAAGCAGCAAGTGGAAACAATTATCTATTTTACAAGTGGAATTTGACGCTAGTTCGATAGCTATGGTCATTAGGAAAATTATTGAACTTCGCGAAGTCATCAATAAGGACTTCGTCGTTTTTTTGTCATTAGATGAGCAAGACCAGAGAAAGTTCTGGAACCAGTGAATGACCCATGTTGAACTGTGGTCAAATAATCACTGGTTCATCAAAAGGTTTAGCGCGTGAACGGGAATCGATAGTCGATTCGCAATCAGTCGATTCCGGAACGCGAAGGGATAAAGTCTACCCTTAAAAAGAATACTAGGTGGCAAATTCTGTGTGTTGGTGACACTACCCCCTGGGTGATGATGGTTGCGACGCTCCTGTCAATGTAAGTAAAGCAGACTTGTTTTTTTTGTGTATTGATCTACATTGAGGGAAAGATCCTTTTTGTAAATGTTTTTATTTCCTTTATCATTTTGCATCTAATAAAGTTGTTATTGTTTTTGAAACTTGCCCTCGCATAATTTTAGTACCTGACCCCCAGTCACGCTTAAATAATTAAATTACATTATAATTAAGATAAATAATTAACAAATTATCGATATAACATAAATGGTCAAGACACCGTCCCAAATTGGGCGTGACAGTATTTATTGGTGGTTAGCAACAATTCAGGAAATTGACTAAATGTTGAAGGTTTCATGAAGAGCACAATCCTTTTCAAGTGGATTAAAAATTTCAGAAACGGCAACGTGAGGTCTTTAGGTGATGCAAAGGCCAGGGCCTCCTGCCTTCTTCTTTGATGTAAATATTGATTATGTGAAGTACATTGTTTTGATGTTTTCTGATGAGTTACATTTGGTAAGATCGTCCATCAGAACAGTGTGTCATTGTAATTGTAATAGATAGCTGTTGGCTTACGATATTGAGCTTGCAAAATAACCATGCAGATCACCGGAAGATGTAAAGGCGATATTTAAAAAGTGAAATGACCTGAAGAGCCTGAGTCAGGGAAGTTTTAATCAATGGAAACGAAAATGGGTCAAGTGCCATTACCACAAATGGAGAGTATTTTAAGGAGGATAAGATTAAATTACTTTTAATTTTACGAAGTGATGCTTTTAAGGTAGATAGGCTGGCGTAAAATCCCATGTATTTTCTTATGAAGGTTCGTTTTCGTCCATTTTGTATTCATTTACCCCCCTAAACTTCTACTCTGACGTCAAGACCGTCATCCATCTTTGACAGCTGTCATAGTCAGCCACGTCTTTGTCCACTCCTCCAGTGGGTGCTACGACTCCCTGATTTTAAGGTGCTCCTCTGCTGCTGGGGCCCGTGATACCTCATCCACAGCCGTCGACTCGTTATCTTGGTGCTCCGTAATTAGGCAGCAGAGGAACACCTCATGATTAGGAAACAACAGAAGAAGGTGCCTCAGGGAGCTGGAACACCCTCTGAAGTAGCAGAGCAAAACTCTGGCTGACGATGGCAGCTGTCAAAGATGGCTGATGATGACAGCTGTCAAAGATGAATGACGATGACAGCTGTCAAAGACGACTGACGGCCGTGACGCAGAATAGGAGTGGAGGGGGTAAAGGAGTAAGAAAAGGACAAAAACGAACCTTCATAAGAAAATACATAGGATTTTGCGCCAGAACGAAGGTAGATTATCTACTTTTTAAATATCCTTTTATGTTATGTGCATTTTAAAGGAATTTTTGTTGAGAATGAAGTTTAGTGAAAAAGCATATTGCAAGTATGCTCATTGGTAAAACTGACCTACATTTAATGTAATAATTGTTAGTAATCTAGGTAAATCAAACGTTTGAGTGGAAAAATTTGTAAATAATTATGCACTTGTGCAATTTTGTTTATAAACAAAAGACTTGTCTATCAAGATTAAATCAGATGAATTAGAGTTTCTAATGATTAATTACGATATGGAGATAACAAAAAAAAAATTACTTATTATGAAAAGTAAAGATTAACAATAAAATCGGCAATATAAGGCATTTAGTCTTCTTATAAGCTTTAGCCACCTTTTCCGTATTTGTTCATTTTTGGAAGATACATAAAAATCTTTTTAACGTTTTTATAAATGTGCCTTTATATTGGTATACAGTACTTATAATGTGTAGAATCTATTTTTAATTAAGAAAATTAACAACATTCATACATATACACGATTTAAGACGCCATGACAGTTTAAGTGTTTTCGAGGTAAATTTAAATCGGTTTTTGAAACCACAAAGTACATTCGGTACTTGTTTCACTTATCGTATTTGCCTGAACTTTTGCGAAGTTACTTCCACTTGTTTAGGCAACTCGATTACTTTTTGCGAGACAAAGTATCTTACTACTGTTTCCAAGGGAACCGTTTCAAAAATACATAGAATAACAGAATTAAAGATTTTAGAATTTAATGCCGTTGGGCACTGGCACAAACAGAAATTACCATTTACAGAACTTATTCGTTGTAGATAGATAAATGTTTAAAATTCGACTGATAGCAAATGTTAAGTCCTTCTGTATGATACCATAAATCTAGCAGAACATGATAATAAAGAACGAATTAAGAAAATATCAGAAGATGCTTTCTAAAGCTTGATTCTCACTATCCGTAAGTTGACGGTCAGCAGCCGCCCGTTAGATGTTCGTCAAAGTATTATTCCCAGCAAAAAGGTGCTTTTATTAAGCAAAAAGGACGACTGTTTACACAATCTATATACATAAAACAGGGTTGGGTTATTTACACCATTTATAACTCAATTTTGATGATCTCCAATTTTTTGGATTCGTCTTGCGAATGTCATTGTTATTCCTGAAAATATGTTAATAATTTTTGATATTGCTAAAATCCCGCCAACCGTTATTGGAAATGTATATTCAATATTGGTGGTGCACTTGTCAGTCCTAAGACTGGTTGGACACGCACCTCCACTTTTTCCTATGCTGTGCTAATCCTCGCATTTCCCTAAAACTAGAACATCCCACATTCTTAACTATTTGTGAACAGTAATCTAATCTAAGTCTACCTTTACTCTTTTTAACTCCTGTTTCTGCTTCTAATATGTCTCTGACTAGTTCTTCATACCTGAGAAGGTGTTCTACCAACCTAACTCGCCGATCTCTTATTGACATCCATAGAGCCCTTTGTTCTCCTACTCTTTCTAATACCTCTTTATTTTTAAACTTCTCTATCCAATGTATTCTCATTATTGACCTGTAACACAGGTCGAACACTTCTAATTTTTTCCGCAGCGCCCACCGTCCATGTTTTGCACGCGTATAACGCCACGCTTCAGATATACACCTTTAACGATCTTTTTAGAATTTCTAAATTAACCGTTTGCGAGCATAGAAGTGACTTCTTTTTATTGAAGGCGATTCGACTCTACGTTATCCTCTGTTTCACATCTCTACTGCTCCTTCCATCCTGAGTTCCTATATACCGAAAATCACTATCACATCTATCACTATCCAATGATATGAAACATTCTTTTACTTCAACAGTGAATTGTTGCTAATAAAGGGTTTACATTTGTTAAAATATAAAAATGAAACTTACAGTTGCGACCCTCTTCTTCTAGTTCTTCTACTCTCGTCATCTGGAGCAATTAGTGTTGGAGGCGATGTGGCATCAGGTGTTGAATTTGGTGGGCTATTATTTTCTGGCGGAGGAACCCTAAAAGATGGTCTTCTACCGCCTGCAGGTGACGTGGTCACCGTACTAAGACCAGGTACAGAGAAAACGTCATATGCTGATGCTCTTCTGGGCATAGGAGCGGGTAATGCTAATCCCGTATCTTCTCCGGAACCACCAACACTTCCTGTTTTTTCTTCACCGTAGCTGTGCTGGCGGGTAACCCTTGAAGCACGACGAGAACGAGTTGCAGGTGCAATTTCACGAGGAGGACTATTTTGTCTGCTAGCTGCTGTACTTCTACCACCTTTAGATTTAGTCCAATCTAGTTCGGAAGGTTTTGCGCCACCTTTTAACTGTAAATAAAAATTATTTTTGCTTCAATTTTTTGGAAGAATAGTACCAGACTACCGTTGTGGTTCTATGGGCCTTTTGTTTGTTTTTTAGGAGGTAAAATTAGTGATTTTTTGTTAAGTATTGTATATATGTAGACAACTTACTGGTTTAGCAATTAGAAATTGTCGAAGCATCTTTGTTTTTTGTATACAAAAATTAAGAAGAACATAAGAATATCTGACTGATTTATTTATATCTACCTGAATTAATATTTATGATATAATTCTAAAACGTCCTGTATTTTACTAGTCAGTATTGTAATCCCCTTTTGTTCACTTTTAAATGTGAAGGGCCAAGATTTAAATCCAAAGGTCAGTTTGGACAGTATCTATATACTAAATTGTCAGTACCTGAATAAATATGGTAAGTATTTAGTATTCCATAGTCAGTGTTTAAATTGAAGCGGTCTATCTGAAGTGAAATCGCCATCCATATTTAGTGGTTTCGAAATATTACTGATAAGACCTTAATCCATAACCCGTATTCCTTTGGTTTACGTGTCTTACGTATGTAAGATGCGCCATGTAGTGAGGTGGAATTGTAAATACTTTAACATTACTAAAGTCTTTTGAAATACTTTAGTTAACAGCAAATGTCTGTAGATGGAGACATATTGCTGTATCTCGACATTATGAAAACGTGCTCATACCAGGTAGGTATACTACATTTACTTTCTGTAGCTATGTGTCCCTTCCAATGTCTTGGATGCGCGCTGGCAAAATCGTAGGTAGGGAGAAAAAAGCTCGTTATACTCTCGACTCTTGTTCATTAAACATACTTTTTCATACAGTACCTGCCAAAAGTTTTGTTCAATCATAAATAGTAGTGCGAGTCGAAAACAAGCGTTGAAGCCTTTAATGTCTTCAAATATAAATAAACATCTCGTTGATATTTTCAGTAGTAAATGGTACATTTGAGAAATGCAATTGTAGTGGATAAAGTGGTCAATTTTTCCGTGCAGTACTGTACGGATTATACGCTCCTCATCGGTTAAGAGTTTGGCCGAGAGTTGTTTGCTTCCTTTTCTGGCCTAGTGCTGTTCTTTTCTACCTTGCGCCATTCAAACTGAAGGTCACATCACTACAGAAAGTAAACGAAGTATATGTTGCTACGTTTCAAACATTGGGCATGCTAGACGTTGTTTCATTTGTCCAGCTATATCACTGATCTATTAAGAACTTAATCCTAATCTAAATGATCTATTTAACGTAACGTAACCTTTGTAATGACTAATTAGCTTATGTTGTTACTGATCACTTTTTTAACAAAATGCTGACCAGAAGGTTATTACTTTATTAATCGAAAATGGAGTTTAATATTGACTATCTGGTTTGTTGCAATTTTAAAAAATTTTTACATCCCTTTTCATAGTTAAAATGTTTTAGTCCCAAAATTTGATTTTAATTATAACTCTGGCATACATATTATTTGATTAGAAAGCAAGTTGGTCGAATTACTATCACAGGTGTTAACTACTAGATACAAATAAAATAGATACAATGCTGCTTCACCTATTGTTTATTTTGATAGTTGATTAGTTATGTGTATTGGTGGGTAAGTAATCCTTGATACATGCGGAATTACGTGCTCAGATTTCTTAACACTTTTCGTATATCCTCTTTTCCAGATAACACAATAGGTTAAATTAGAAGCGGAGTTATTAATAATCCCCAATCACATTTCAAGTCAGGAAGTATTGATAGCTCTATGCATAATTCAGTAACATTAGATTGGTATCCATAACGCATCCAAAGTTGTGTGAGTGAGGTTTTTTGACATCAGCCTATCTTCGCTTTCTCAAAGTTGACCAGGAAAAACTGAGAAGATCGGAAAATAATAAATATATGACCGTTTCAAGGACTTGCAGCTGTAAAAATATGACTTTCTTTATAGGTAGTTGTTGTTGTTTACATCGAGACTGTTGTTTGAATAGTTTTGCGAGGCTATCAAAAATTGACGTTATATCAGAGGTATCATATAATCGATGGCAGACAGTTTTATTAAATGTTGCGGACCTGTAGATCTTAGTTGAACTAATCTGTGACCTAATAATGTAAAAGGGCGTAAGAAAGAATAGTTTTATTAATTAAGTATTTTAGTATGAGGAACAAGAATATATGTATAAATAGAATACAAAGAGAGCTCGCCGAAGTGGCCATCACGACTCGTTACCAACCTATCAATTGCACAAACCCGTTCCGCACGTGTTCTGCTTCAACCCTTTACACTGTTGTCCTTGAAAGTGTATATTCACCCAATACTCGTAGCGAGTTATAAAAATTTAAATTTCATCCTATAATTGGCAAATTTCGTCGTTGTTGTTGGTGTCAGCTTTCGTAGTTTAGTGGTCAGAGAATTAGTGTGTAAAGCCAAAGGTCCCGGGTTCGATTCCTGATGAGGTTGTGACCGCACCAACAATTCTTCCTAAATTAATTTGAGGTAATTTGTAGTGGATAAAAATTAAATGAATTTTCACATTAATTTATAAAGCTGATCTATTTGACGGCAATATTGTTTTTCTGACAGGAATAGTCAACAATAGTCTAACTTCAAAGGGCTGTTATAACAATAGAGAGTACAAGGTAAGGTGATGGAGAGATTGAACTTGCTATAATATAAAGTAGCGACCATGAGCGTGATTGTGTGCGATTGGGCATACGTGTGTGTGAGCGGTTTATCGATTCGCCGACTAGCCGCGGGCGCTTTTCTTCATGTGCGCCGTATCTGTAGACGTGTGTGTCGTACCTGCGTTCCGGGAAAGCAATTAAACCGTTCAGAGAAAACGAGACTTCTCTGGAAGGCTGAAGAACGTTCCCGAAAGGAGGCAAGGGAGTATAAAAAGGAAGAGACGATCGCCGAAGTGGAGTAGAAATAAAATGACCGTTGCAGAGGTGAATCAAGAGATAAATTGGAAGTGATAGAAGTGAAATAAATGAAACAGTAAATAGTAACAGTAGTGTAAATAAATAGAATAATTACCTAAGTTTAGTAATAAGTTAATAGTGTTTTTTAAGTCCTTCAATAATCATTAGTGTAAATAAATAGTTCTCTTCTTAAAAGTTAATTTGTTAAACCCACCAACATTACAATATGTTAGTGGCATACATCACATCCAAAAAAAAACTGACTGTTAGTCGTAACTTTTCTACGAACAACCTTGAAGTATTCTTTCAGAATATGCAGAGCGTTAAAAGCTCTGATTGATAATAATCTCTGGTTTCAAACTTATAAGATCTGACAGAGATTTGAGGATATACAAGTAGATGTTGTTTACATGTGTTTTAAGTTGGCTTTTGATACAATCATAAGCATCTATTAAGGCAATTTGACATGTATGACGTTTATAATTTGGATTTTTCATGGATTGGGTCATTTATTGATTGCAGAGTTTATAATGTTAAGATTGGTTTGGATCATTTGATTACCTTGTTAATTCTATAGTATTTTAAGGCTCTCATGGTCTCTCATTGTTTGTTACCATACCCATTAATGAAATAGTGTTACTGTTAATTCATAAGGCTCTTTTATGGCAGCAATTTAAAAATCTACCTTATAACTAATTTAGTTCATGTCGCTGAAGAAGTACAATACCTACGATTTGGTTAAAGTAAGTGATTTTTGCAATGGTAATGGTTTTAGATTTAGTTTTGATAATTGTTTCGGTAAGTTGAGTATCAAAATGTATAAGTAAGAAAAACCGCTTGTGCTTCCCTGAAGCTGTATTATTATTTTATGGTGTAGTACTTTAATTACCTTTTCGAGTTCTTTTAGAGATGCAGGAGAAACGTCCGAATGTCGTCTTAGTTCTGGGCTCCTAGGTGGAGCCAGGCCACTTCCAAGAGAGCTTACAGCCGAAGTGCCTGCTCCTAATCGTGCTTCTGAATGTCTACGTTGTAATTCTTGAACCGGTACGTCCAAAAGGCTTTCGGTTGAATCTTGAGCTACAGCTATTCTTGATTGTAACTTTCTCCGGCAAACGCTACATTTCCAGTCTTGGGGATCTTCGTCGTCGGCTATTTTACCTTTAATAATAAAAAGAAAATTGTACCTGTACCATTATTAAGTTTATTTTACTTAATATACATTAAATTAGTATTAAAGAACTAGATACTAGTTAAAAAAATTGAATAGCTAACGATTATTATGTATTCTTCGATGGGATGTTAATAGTTACGTATGAATTTGTCACAAGGTGATTGTAATTTTTAAAGTTGGTTAAGTAAAGGACTTGGAGACACTATTCAGAAACTTAACCGGTTTAATCTTGAAATAATAGTATCATTCCTCCTGCATTTATGATCTTGGTTGCAATACACGAAATCATGACAATTCAAGGAGAATATGGTGTTCTGTTAAAAGGCCATTTAGGAAAAAAGTATCGCGAATTTTGAATTTCCGCGGGTTACGCATATTCGATTTTAGATTTTTTTGTGGTCATATGTTGGTACTCATGTCCTCTCACTTACACGAAAGTGTAATTAACAAATGGGAATAACTGCGTGCAACTGATTTTTATTACGCCTATAATACGAAGATATTTACAATTCAAGTTTACATTTTACTCATGACTTTCACTTATACCGATAAGTTTGATCATGAATGTTTAGTTAATTTTTGACAGCTGCTTTCCTTACATATGTTTTGGCTCGTCTTGGATTTGTGTCTATTCCAAAACATGGATCATAGGATCTATATCAAATTTTGTGTCAAAAGCAAAATTAAGTGCGCGGACGCATTGCCAAGGTTGACTGTGGCTTATGGTAAAACTATCTTGGACCGAGGCAACGTTTATCGGTGGTACAAAATGTTCTCTGCGGGTCGAGAACATGTGAACGATGAAGAGCGTGCCGGACGACCGACACGTCAACAACAGACGAAAACATTGATGAAGTGAAGAAAATAGAAAATACTACAAATGGCGTGGTGAGCGCCATCTGTAGTACGATGCTACATTTGAGGATTACATATGCTCCAACAAGGTCCATTTAAAAATATGGATATCTACTTGCTGAAACGAATCCCGGCGTAGCTCACCTCAACTTGAGTGGTCTGTATTCTGTCGAAACTGCCAGACGCGGATCGCGATTTCGATCTTTTTGGATCTCATCAGCGCGTCGCAGGCAGCTCCGACAGAACACAGACCAACCTTTACCTGCTGTCTTAACAGCGCGTTTTAGAAAATACTACAAATGGAGTGGTGAGCGCCATCTGTAGTACGATGTAGTACGATACAGACCACTTCGAATTATTTTGTTCGATTATGGTAACGTGCCTATCACGTTGAGGTGAGCTACGCCGGGATTCGTTTCAGCAAGTAGATATCCGTATTTTTAAATGGACCTTGTTGGAGCATACGTAATCCTAAAATGTAGCATCGTACTACAGATGGCGCTCACCACGCCATTTGTATTATTTTCTAAAACGCGCTGTTAAGACAGCAGGTAAAGGTTGGTCTGTGTTCTGTCGGAGCTGCCTGCGACGCGCTGATGAGATCCAAAAAGATCGAAATCCCGATCCGCGTCTGGCAGTTTCGACAGAATACAGACCACTTCGAATTATTTTGTTTGAAGAAAATGGTATTGGCCAATTGTTGAATCATCGTTAGTTACTAAGGACTTAAACATCTTACTTAAACAGCACCGTATTAACATTGCTAATTAGCTGTTGGACACTGTCCGTGACGACCCAAACTTGCTCTAGAAGGTCATAACTGATTGGAGTAGACCGTTAAATTTCAAACAAAATATCTTGATGAACACACAATCGGTGAATTGAATGAACTACTTTAGAAGTAGTCGCAATACCAAATATACTCATCTAAATTACATCACCGAAACTACACCAACACCAGGAATGCATGAAAGTCAGAGAAGAAAAGGACTTTTTAACTGTTATAGTATAATATTTTTTATTTAACCCATTTTGACGTGACAACGTCTTATAATTCGATAGAGCCGGCTGCACGCACGAAAAAAACGACTAAAATTTGGTGTTACAGGCGAATAATGAGGATACCGTGAATAAAGAAGGTTAGAAATGAAGAGGTATTAGAAAGAGTAAGAGAATAGAAGACTCTATGGAAGTCAATAAGAAATAGGCGAGATAGGTTGGTAGGGCACCTTATCAGGCATGAAGGTCTAGTCAGAGACATATTAGAAGCAGAAACAGGAGTTAAGAGGAGTAGATGTAGACTTAGATTAGATTATTGTTGGCAAATAGTTAAGGATGTGGGTTGTTCTAGTTTTTGGGAAATGCGAAGATTAGATCAGGATAGGAATGATGATGGATGACTTGCCATAAAAAACAAAAAAAAAATGCTACATTTACAATTGTTGCCTATCTACTAATAGTGATGGAGAGGGAAAAACGGACGCGGACGGGCTTTATTTTTGGAACCCTCAGAAATGAACGCTAATGAAAATATTTTCAATTTTTCTTTCCTGACACAACATGAAAAGTGTAGTCGTAGGTACAAGTATCATCCTTTATCAGGATTTATGTAATTATATCATGCGGATTTTCACGAAGTCACTGCAATCAATCATGTTCGCCAGAAATAAAGGCGAGGTCATATAATGGTCGGGAGGACAATGAAATTGGCATTTCGTTGTGCCGAACTAGAACTCATGAAGGTAATTGGATTGGGGCCTTACAACGCCGTGTCACGAATATTGCTTTGTTACTGGAACAACGGACGCCTTCGAAAGGGATTCAGTGTGCTTAAGAATTTTTCATTAATTTACAAAACTACTTACATTTAAATCGCTAGGTAACAAATGAAAAGAAATTAAGACCCAGGTAGCAAGGCTAAGTTTAAATTACGTTCTTTAATGGCTATTTTCGGTCATCAGAGACAATTTTCCAACAATAGGATGTTAGGAATGACGTCAATAGTGTGACTTCTATACGACGTTTTAGTTCTTACTTTTTACTTTTCCTTTCTTACCCTTTACTTTTCATATTTTTTTAAAGAAAACCTTTTCAAAATCAGTGTCTTATATTTAATGTTTTACGAAACTATGTCGATATGAGTGGTGTTGTCGAGCCGGAACGCTCCGGAACGTCGTTCCGGTACTTCCTTTTTGGACAGGAACGCGTTCCGGAACTAAAGATGATTTCTGATAACGAGAATTGGCTGACGTATTGAAAAAAAAATTAAAAAGAATTGCTGATTTTTTTTTTTAATTTTTGACGAATTTTTATATGTATTATTATAAACAAGGGTTTGAACCGAACCCGAACCGGAACAAAAACCGGAACGAACCGGCTTGTTTTTCCGAACCGTGAACCGGAGTCCGGAACGTTTTTTTTCTGCTGAACCGGAACTCGAACCGAACCGAAACAAATACGTGAACCGGTTTTTGAACCGGTTCAACGGGAATTAAACTTTATTTATAATAAACATTAGAAGAAAAAAATATGAAATTTTAAAAAAGTAAAGATTAATTTTAATACAAGCGGCCCACGGACCGTACTTTACTCATCCCTGGCATAGTTTATTGCCATACCCAAATGGGCCTGCGGCTAATGCTAAGAATATATATACATATACACAAAATGGGTTTCGTAATGATTTTCGTTTCCTTTCCTTTTTATGCTATATACAGGGCCGATCCTGGCGACGGGCGAAAATTGGGGGAAATCCCCCCCCGTCGTCGTCAAATTTGGGACATGATACCGCACAGAGCGGCCGCCTACCCAGGATCGGCCCTATCTATATAATTATATATACGCGTTCCGGTAAAAATAAAATTAGCACAACACCACTGGTCGATATATATATATATTACTTTAACCTGTTTGCGCGATAGAATCAAGTGATTTGCCTAACGGTTCAACTGTTATAGACTAGGTTTTGCTTCTATTAAATTAAAATGGCCGTCGTAAAATTCAAGATGGCGGTAGAGGCGAGAAAAAGGTTTGTGTACCTACCATACTGTACGGCAGAACAGTGAACAGGGTTTTCAAAATCAAGATGATGCTTCTTACACTATTTTGTAATACTCATAATCTCCGATTCAAACTTACGCAACCTATGTTGTTACGATCACTACGTATTTTTTAGTTGGGAACTTAAATAAACCGCAGTACATAGAAATACAAAAAAAAAAATGTAGACATCAAAATAGTACCTATTTATAAAAAGGAACTAACAACATATTTATAAAACATTAACTAAAATGTCGTAAACAAAATTTTAAATTAAAAAAATCAAAAATTCCGATTTTTAATAAGCTTTTTCACTCATATCTTGCTTCCAACTTTTTAGGTCACTTTACTTATGTGCTGTCGGGCTTTTTGATCTTTCCAATTTAAATTTTTATTGGAGTTTTGATTTAATATACGTACACATTCTACGAATTTATTTGTGTATTAGTTGTTTATAAGAAAGGTTGTTTATAGTGCAATCTTGATGAAATATATTAAATAACAACAAACTACATGGATATTAAAAGTTTTAATGTTCAAATATTTAATAGTAGACTCTTATATGTTTTAACTGATAGGTCATTATTAAAGAAAAAATGAAAGAAATAAAAATTTCAACATTTGGGTATACGAGGTTTGTTCAAAAAGTATCCGCGGGTTGCGTATATTCCATTTTCGATTTTTTTGTGGGGTTATGTTGATACTTATGGCCCTCACTCATACCGACAAGTTCGGTCATGTTGAATGTTCAGTTAATTTTTGACATTTGCTTTGCTTGCATGTGTATTGGCTCGTCTTCGATTTTTGCCTGTTCCAAAAAATGGATCAAAGAATTTGTATCAAATATTGTGTGAGAAACAAAATTAAGTGCGTGGACGCATTCCAAATATTGACTGTGACATATGGTGAAACTACCTTGGATCGAAACAACGTTTAACGGTGGTACAAAATGTTCTCAGAGGGTCGAGAAGGTGGGAACGACGAAGAGCGTACCGGACGACCGAGCACGTCAACAACTGATGAAGTGAAGAAAATAGTATTGTCCAATCTTCGAATCACCGTTAGAGAAGTTGCTGAGGACTTAAACACATCG